ACGATTTAGTTGGTCATTTTGGCAAATCCAAAAAACGTTGGTTAAAATCGTATATTATAAAGCATTTTTTGTCAATGATGTTATTTTCTCAATTTATAATTTTACTTTTATCAATGCAAGAACTCCACTCATTTACTCTCGGAAAAAAATTTAAAATTCAATTTCCTTTATTAATTATGTATTTATATTTTATTTCAATAATTTAATACTAACATCTTTAAAATTATTTATTTTAATTAAAAGTAAATAACATTTATGATTTATATATTAAAATATTAATAGTGTGTTATTATAAAATATATTTTTATTATAATTATATTTTTATTTGTATATTTTATATTTTTATTATAATTTAAATTGATATATTTCATATATAATAATAACTTATTTTAACATATATCTTTTTATTGTCTATTTTTTAATGGTTAAAAGTTTAAATATATCATTTAAATTATTTTATTTTAAATTTCAAATGAGTGATTATGATTAAATCGAAATAATTAAAATACTACTTTAAAAATCAAATATGAAAAAGTATTTATAATATTTTTTCTTAATAAAACATTATATATAAAAATTATTATTAATTAATTATCTTAAAATATTTTTTATTATAGTATTGATAAGTGTAAATATAATTTAAATTCTAATATATTTTTAATTTACAATAGAATGTCAAAAATGAACATTTTATCATTTTAAAATTATTTTTTAACAATAATCTTAAACAGTTAAAATTTAAACTAACTTATAAAAAATTATTTTTAAAAGTTATTTTCCGTGACACTTTTAAAAATCATTTTTCAAAAGCATATCATTTTTTGAATTTATCGCTTTTTGTATAAAATTTAGGGCGTTTCATAAGTTTTTATAAATAATTTTATATTTATATGTACTCTACGGTTCCTTAAAATTTTAATTATTGATATTAATGAGCAATAAATATTAACTCAGTTGATGGAAAAAAAGGAACTTTTGAAAAATCAATGGAGGTTGGATCAAGTGGTAATTGTTGAAGCATTCTAGAATCAGTTGTGTATTTAGATAAGGTGGTTCTAGAAGTAGTTGTTGAAGCAGTTACACAATTATACCAGTGTGTAAGCTGGTGGTTATTGTACTTGTGTATATAAAAGTGTACTTGACCTTTGTAGAACATGAATGCATTTTCTTTACTCATGTATATTCTATCTGCAATTCTGTGTTTCTATGGGTGACTGTGGTAACATTTCTTTTGAGCTTAGAGAGTTTGTTCGTAGTGGCAAGTTGTTCATGCACAAAAAGATCAATATCTTGCTTGATGAGGCGAATTTCTTATTGTGGAAACAATAAGTGCTATTCACGGTTCGCAGTCACAGGTTGGAAAGACTGCTCAATGGAGAGCTATTACCACCGCCGACGCGAATCTCTGATGACTCAGGTGCACTTGTTGTCAATGAAGACTGAAAGTTTTGTTGCTCAGGATAGTGCTATTGCATCCTGGCTGCTTTCTACTATCAGTGATCCTCTATTGCCACAGTTTGTAGATGCCGAAACAACAATTGATGCTTGGCATACGGTGCAGAAGTTTTTCGCTAACCGATCGACCACAAGTGTAATGATCTTGCATTGCAAGCTTAGATCGATCAAGAAAGGTGATGATAGTATGAGATCTTATCTTACAAAGATCAAAGAGGTTTGTGATGTACTTGTTGCGTGTGGGAGTGCAATCTCTAATCTTGAACAGATCATTACTATTCTAAATGGTGTTTCAATTGAATATCAATCGTTTGTGGCGGTGATCACAGCCAGCAAAGACATGTGTTCAGTTGATAATGTTAAAACAATCTCGATGGATGTTGAATCTCAGTTGAATGGTTTTCAACTTCAACAATCTCTTCTGATGAGTGCTAATATGGCCAGTGTACGTGATGATAGTCGTGAGAATGACAGATCTACAGCCCAATCGTGTAGTGGTAATGGGGCTGGTGGTTATAATAGGGGTGGTAAATCTGGAGCTCCCGGTCGTGGTTGTCCACGGCTATAATGTCAGTTGTGTGGAAAAAATGGACACTCCATTGATCGTTGCTGGCATTGCTTCGATCAAACGTTTTCAGGAGTGTTGGCTGATAAAAGTGAGGAAACTGAGGTGCTTCATACTGTTGTTGATGAGTGTAAGTCATGCAGCAGTGGTGTTCATGCTCAAACACATATTGCGTCTATGAGTTCTGGTCGTTGGATTGTGGATTTGGGAGCGACTCATCACATCAACCCTGATGCCTAGAAGCTTGCTACTAGCTCGGATTATACTGAACCAGATAAAGTGGTTGTTAGTAATTGACATAGTATGAATATTGCTCGAGCTGGTACTTCTGTTATGTTTGTCAACTTTCGAATGTTGTTTCTTAATAATTTGTTGCATGTGCCATCAATAACGAAAAATATTCTCTATGTGTCAAAGTTTTCTAGAGATAATAGAGTTTACTTTGAGTTTCATGTGGGGTCTTGCTTGGTTAAGGATGAATAAACTAAAGAGGTGTTGATAAAGGAACAAGAGTGTGTTGGAATCTATCAATTTACTACAGATGTTGAGTGCTTGAAAGCCTGTCATGTTACGGTGGTAGAAGATCCTAGTAGTACTAATAAAAACTATGATATGTGGAACAAGAGGCTTGGGCATCCTACTCATTCTATTCTTGTACAGGCATGTAAACAAGTTGGTGTAATTTTTCCTTCTCAAAGTAATAAAACCGATAGTTCATTTTGTGTTCATGTCTCTTGGGTAAGAGTCATAAAATTCCATTCAGTAATTATACAATGGTGTATGCCAAATCGTTTTATCTGGTGTTTAGTGATGTGTGGGGACCGTCTCATATAACTACCATTGAATTCAGGTATTATGTGTCTTTTGCTGATGCCTGTATGAGGCACAACTGGGTTTACTTACTCAAAACTAAATATCAAGTGCTTTCAACATTTCAGTTGTTTTTTAGCCTGGTGCAAACTAATTTAATACAACGATAAAAGAGTTCAGAGTAATTGGGGAGGTGAGTACCGATCGGTTTCGACCTGGCTAAAATCGTTGGGTGTAGTTTATCGTTTGGCTTGTCCATACACGTCTGAGCATAATAGTGTCGTTGAGCGCAAACACAGACACATTATTGAACTAGCTCTAGTTTTGATGGCTCAAGCATCTCTTCTATTCAAATTATGGTCTTATATAGTGTGTACTGCTGCACACCTTATTAATCGACTGCCTACTTGTGTTCTTCATGGCAAGTCACCATTTGAGGCGTTATATGCTAAGAAGCCAAATTATGGTTACTTTAAAGTTTTTGGGTGTCGTTTCTTTCCACATCTACGACCTTATTAAGCTCACAAGCTGAGCTATCGTTATTCGCCTTGGGTGTTTTTAGGATATATCACTCAACACAAGGGTTATCAATGCATGGATTCGGATGAGCGTGTCTATGTTTCGTGCCATGTGATTTTTGATGAAGTCTTTTTTCTGTATTGAATGGAAAAACTGGGTGTAGTTGCGCTTCACGTTGAAGTGGCATGAATCTCTCTGTAGTAAATGGTGCTCATCGTGTTTGCATGGAAGGCGAAAGATCACATTGTAATGATAATGTGTTGTAAAGTACAAATGAGACTTTTAATTCCTTTAATAATATGGATCCAGCTGGAGAATCTGTTCATAGATCAGATAATGTTATGCCTATGCATGTGATGTCAGGAAATAGTGTTGAAGATGACGTTACGCAGCAAGGTGTGTTGTGCAGCAGGATGCTGAAATTTCTGGAAATGCATCAGCTAGTCTACTTTCTATGGATGGTGTAGACACAAGTAGTAATGATGAGGAAAGGATTGGTCATAATGGGCTTCAATACCGGTGAAAAGTCACCACATGGTGACACGTAGCAAGAATGGGATATTTAAACCCAAAGTTTACTTTTCCATGCACAATGGAGATGAAGATGAGTCTATGCATGAGGATGGTGAAGTTGAACCTTTGAGTGTTCATGAAGCCTTCAAGTATCCGTTGTGGAAGGTTGTTGTTATTGCCGAATATGGAGCTCTTGTCAAGAACAACACTTGGACACTTGTTCCTCTTCCAGAAGGTAGGTCTGTGGTAGAATATAAATGGTTATTTCGAGTCAAACGTAATACATATGGCTCGGTTCAAAGGCATAAGGCTAGACTTGTAGCCAAGGGGTTTTCACAAGTATCTGGTCAGGATTTTTAGGATACTTTCAGTCCTATTGTAAAAGTGTCTACAATGAATGTAGTGTTAATGATAGCTGCTCGTAATGGTTGGAACATGAGGCAGATCGATGTTAATAATGGGTTCCTAAATGGTGACTTATATGAAGAGGTGTTCATTGAACAACCTCAAGGATTTGAGCAGCAGTCTCTAGATGGGAAAGTTTTGGTCTGCAAGTTACAAAACGCCTTGTATGGGCTGAGGCAACCACCGAGGAATTTGTACTCCAAGCTGAGAGACTATCTTGTGAGTATGGAATTTCAAATTTCTTAGGCAGATAGTTCTTTGTTCATCAAGCACGGTGAGTGTAGTGGTACATATATTCTAGCATATGTTGATGATATTATTGTCACAGGGAAGGGAAATAAGGATATTGAGGAGGTTGTAAAGCTGTTGGGAGAAAAATTTTCTCTCAAAGATCTGGGCATGCTCAATTTTTTTCTTGGCATTGAAGTAAAACGTGTTGATGATGCTATTTTTCTTAGCCAAAAGAAGTACATAATGGAGCTTCTGGCCAAGTCAGGAATGAGTAAGGTTGCGCCAACCCCGACGCCTATGGTTGCATCAGTTAAGCTTACTATGACTAATGCATGAAGTCCATTAACAAATGCAAAGGAATATCGCAGTCTGGTTGGTTCCTTGCTCTATGCGTGTCATACGAGACCAGATATATCGTATTGTGTAAACAAGTTAGCTCAGTTTATGCATACACCCTGTGAACATCATCTAGCGACATTTAAACGAGTGCTAAGATATCTCAATGGTACTCTTGATTATGGGTTGGTATTTCTTCTGCGGATGGAGTCACTCCAGCTTATGGCATTTGCTGATGTTGACTGGGGGTAGCATCGATGACAGACAATCGATATTTGGAACGTGTGTATTTCTTGGTGGTAGTTTGGTGAAGTGGAACTCAAAAAAGAATAAAACGATGTCTCGATCCACCACAGAGGCTGAATATAGAAGTTTAGCCGATACTACGTCTGATGTTATTTGGCTTGAAGCTTTGTTAAACGATATGAAGGTTCAAGTTCGAGCTACGTCTGTGGTTTGGAATAATAACACTAGTGTTATTGCCATGAGCGCCAACCCTGTGTATCACTCGAAGACCAAACATGTGGAGTTAGACGTTCATTTTTGTCAGAGAACGTGTTGCAACATGGAAACTTAAAGTGAATTATGTTTCCTCTGAACATCAGGTGGCAGATGGATTGACAAAGGCTTTAACAAATGACTACTATGCTCGGTTTAGATAGAAGCTTGGGGGTTTCTCGTTTGATGAGGTTGAGAGAAGAAAGAGTAGGGAGAATATTGAAGTATTCTAGAATCAGCTGTGTATTTAGATGAGGTGGTTCTAGAAGAAGTTGTTGAAGCAGATGTTGAAGCAGTTACACGATTATACCAGTGTGTAAGCTGGTGGTTATTGTAGTTGTGTATATAAAAGTGTACTTGACCTTTGTAGAACATAAATGCAATTTCTTTACTATGTATATTATATATGCATATTTTAACAGTAATCATTTTGATATCACTTAAGTTATGTATCAGGTTCGAGTTTATGCGGAAAATTACTCATATACCAAAAATTAAATGTATGATGTAGATTGATTTAGATTAATTAGGATGAAACCTTAAAATCGGGAAGATAACAAAAATAAGATTTTTTTTAAAAATAATTTAAAAAATTAATATTATTGTAAAGAGTGTTTTTATATTTTTATAATCTTATATAATCATGAAATTAAAAAAAAATTGAAAACCACAGTTGAAGTACAAGAAAGATAATGAACATATATGTAAATCCTCTGCTAGTATATCTACATCGTGATATGGCAAAAATCTAATAAAGATAATGTTGTTGATAACGAGTAAAAAATGTTCCTGCTAAAAATATATATACAATGTGAATGTAATACCAAAATTGATAATAAAATAAAATAAATTCCACAAACCGACACGAGTTAACTTATGATTGAACACCATAGTCCGCTTTCAGTTCCATTACTTCCATGCATCATATGACAAAAGGATTCATCCTTTTGTCGTCTATACCTATACCATGTGGATTGTATCCGAAAAATTAGCTCTTGGGAGATGGATTAAAATGGATTTCTTTCTCTCCCAAAAATTTAAAATTACCACATTTTAAAATTATTTTATTTTTTATTAATAATTCATTATCATCTGTTAAAATTTTAATAATTTATTTATTATTAAAATTTTAAAAATTCACCTAATAACGTAAAATCTTATACCAGGTATTGAAAATGAATGATTATCAAGTTGCTGAGGCTGAAACCAAAAGCTGGTTAGAGATGGTGCTGAAATCCATGTCTGCATGGTCCATGCCTTTGGCTTTGTCGCTTTGGAATTTGAAGAAAGAATATAATTTGAAGTTGACGTAAAACCGACATGGGACTTCAACTAGATGGCGATGTGTCAGTTAGGCAGGAGCTCCGGAAACCGACATCAATAATTAAGGTTCGTTTTCACGCCTTATGGCAAGTTTTTGTCATTGGTGCTTAATGAGTTTTCTCAGTTCGGGGAATGGAGTGTATGCCACAATACCAGTCCAGGCTGCAAGCCCAAACGCTCTCAGCTCCATCGTTTTCATATTTCTTCCTCACCTTATCCTTTTTTTCATGCGATATGGGAGGCACGCCCCAGAGACACTGTGAGAAAGAGAGAGAGAGAGAGATGTCTCTTCTCAATAACATTTCTTTTCTCTCCTTCGCCTAATTAATAAAAAAATATTTCTGATGTTAGGAGTATTTTCGTTTTAATGTTTTATTTTAAGGTGAAAACTCATTCTATGAATCAGACCAATTAATTAATAAACTGTCAGTACTCTAAAATAAATATTTTTTACCTTAAAATAAAACGTTGAGAGTCAAAATGTTATGAAAAAAATAAGAATTAAAGTGCTGTTTAACCAAGCATTAAAAGATATTTTAACTCAAAAATAAAACATTAATAATAATACTTTAGAAAAACAGAGATAAAATAATTATTTAATCAAACATTAAAGATAACTTTTAACCTCACACATTCTTCATCTAATAGACGTGAGTAGTAAAAAAAATATATTATAGAGGAAGATGTCGTTTGGCTTTGTATGTGCAACAATTAATGCAACTCAATGAGTATATGTATAAAACAAGATTGGTGGAGTAGAAAGAGGTTCACCAACTAACTTGTTGTCGAGATCCCAAATCTGCAGTTCCTTGATTGTAAAACTGCGTTATATCCTACCTTGTGCCATTAGGTTTCCGTACAATATTAAGCAGCCCCTTTGGTCCTGACTTTTAATTAAACAAAACCGACAGTGACAAGTCAACGATTGACGGACGAGTGGGTAGGCCTGTAAACGAATCGAACGCACACGATGGAGGTATGTTCATGTTCGTTCATTTAATAAATAAATAAACATATATGAACACGAACATAAACGAACAATTTTTTTTGTTCATGTTCGTTCATTAAGGAATATAGTTTGTTCATATTCGTTCATTTAAATGATAAACGAACACAAACGAACGAACATAATAAAGGAACATAAACGAACAACACAAACACAAAAAATAAACTTATTCGAACACAACAAATAAATGTAAAAAAGTAAACAACAAGAATAACAACTTAAAATTCATTAATATAACCTGCAACTTTAGAGTTAATTTGTTCGAATACGAAAAAAACATACATAAATCATAAATAAGTTATATGAACATAATAAAGTCTTAAAGTTAATTTGTTCAACAAAACAATCTTCTTGAAATCCAAATAACTTCAATAATCTTCGTAACATATTCAACTTGCCCTAAGTTCGAACATAAATGAATGAACGTAAATGAACGAATATATAATCGAACGTTCACAAACGTAAATGAACGAACGAGTCATTTGTTCGTGTTCGTTCATTTAATTAAACAAACGTAAAATCTTATTCATATTCGTTCATTTAATAAATAAACGAATATAAACGAACTTCCCGCCGCACGGTTCATGAAAGGTTCGTTGAACGTTTAGTTCATTTACATGCTACCCTCAGGAATCCAAGGTACCCACAAGTATGGCGGCTTAAATATTTTCCTTTTTTTTCTACCTCCAATCGTATATAAACAGATACTACTTTATAATGAATTTAATAAAAAACTTTTAACCGACGATTAAGTTTAAATTATATTTAAGATTAATAGGTGTTTGATATATATAGTATCAGCTCTAAGTATTATTGCAGCTGTTGATATTCGAATTTATAATCTCTACAAAAATTAACGATTCTTTTAACCACTGGCATAATTTAATTTGCGGATATCAACAAAAGTTTAAATTTAACTTCTCTTTTTAATATATATATATATTATTATATCAAACCCTTATTGATCTTAAATATATATATCTTTAAAATGTATTGAACTTAACTTGGTATTTTTTCTAAATGATAGTTTCAATTAATATACGATAATAATTATCAATTATTCTAAACGTTAAATACTAAGATATCTATGAATTAAATTTTGGTGTCGAGTTCTAATATCAAAATATACAAAAATTGTTTCTATTACATAATATTTAACTGTCATATCATAAACTTTGAGAACATAACAAAATTATCTGATTGTCGATCGTTGAAAAAAATAGTATAATATAATAATGTGATATGATGAAATTATTTGTACTTCACATTAGTAAGATACAATTTTAATTAAAACATTATATATAACCTTTGTCTTTACTTATATACCTTTGTCTTTACTTAAATTCAGTAATAATTGATAAGATATTTTATTCTATATTTTATATGATAAAAAATAGTGGCAAATCCATAATTCTATGAGGATGAGTACGTGTCTCCTCTAAAATCTAAATTTTCTTCAACTAGTAATCTATTTTACTGATAGTGTCTACCCTAAAATTTATTTATACGCATCACATTAAAAATATTTATATTGTTAATATATATGTATTCATCCTTAAAACTACTTTTAGATCTTTCACAAGTCAAAGATAATATATATTTGAATTGGTTCTTGGCGTCAGATCCTAATACCAAAATATACTGCAGTTATCTCTGCTACATTATATTTAATTGTTGCTTTGTGAGTAGAGATAACCCAGTAGAAGTGCTGACTGTCCATCAATCTGTGTCTCTCGCTCAATACCAGGGCTTGTTCATGCCTTGTCTTCCATGATAATGAAGGCAAAGGCACTCCTTCAAACTTCTATATATACCCTCCCCTTCCTATAATGTATCCAAACGTCTTTAATTCTTTATTACATAATTCATTCTCACTTTACTTTTGTTGAGTGATGACGCAAAACCAGGCAGAGGTTGATAAAAGGAGTAAACCTCCAAAGGGGCATTTCGTGGTATATGTGGGCAGTGAAATGAGGAGGTTTGTAATTCCCACATCGTTCCTGAAGAGCCCTATGTTCCAGCAATTGCTTGACAAAGCTGCAGAAGAATATGGATTCAATACTCACAACAACAGGCTTCTTCTACCTTGCGACGAGTCTACTTTTCAAAGCCTTACTGATTATTTGGCCAAGCATTGTTCTTAAAACATTTTTCTCCTTTTTCAGTTATTGACAATTACTTGAAATATCGTGGCCATCCCTCTAAGATTGTATTTGTCAATACCTCTAGTGTATTGTGTTAATAAAAATGCAACTTCCAAAAACCAATTCAATAATGTACAAAAAAAGTAAGACGTGTATTGTATTTATTTTTAAGTTACAATTGATTACAATAATAGTAGTAAATAATATACAAATGAATATAGTAATAAATAATATACATATGAATAACAATTATAAGAACCCATTGAAGGGTCTTAAGAAGAAAAAAAAATATTGTTCTCCTTAAAAGTTTTAGGTTCGAGTCGTTGGTGTTGTTCTCCCTAGAGTCTCGAGTTCGAGCAGTTATCCTTGTTGGGTGTGCGAATTATCTATAAGTTAAAAAAATTTAAACAAATATTGCCTTATAATTGCACTATTTAAAAAAGAGAATAACTATTTATCATCAGTGCAATGTTGATATTTATATGACCCTGAACATCATTATGATATTGATGATGGCCGTAGTAATAATACTCGGCTACTGGATACTGTGAACACATTGTGCTGATGCTTATATGCAAGGAGAAAGGCTGAAATTGATCCTTCAATTAAGTTTATCTTTTTAAATAGTGTCCCATAGCTCTGAGTTTTCCCGATCAAAGTATTCAAGCTCTTAATATAAGATCAATGAGTAATACCCCTAATTCCGGGATGGAAGTTTCGGTCAACTTGAAACCTGTCAGTAGAGCCCATTAGACCTCCTAAAATAGTTTGGACCATTCACTACAAGAAAATATACCTTTAATGACACACAAACGATGACACACGCTAATTTATGACTTGCAAAACATGTGTGTCATTAAAAAATGTCATGTTTTTTAAAATCTGAACGATTTATGACTTACAATAATGTCATATTTAATAGTCATAATCCAAAAATTTACAAAAACACGGAGTATAGTTTTAGTTGTGTGTCATCTTTAGGAGTCGTATTTTAATTTTCCCCCTATTATTTTCATCCTTCCCGTTTCTTCCCCCCTCGATAATCAGTTTGAACCTTGAAATTGTTTCAGGTTCTCAAAAATGACTCAAGATGTGGAGATGAAAGAACAGCCAGCTCCTTCCAATTTCGTTACTTCCTCTTCTCCATCCACTTTGCACCGTAAGCTCACTCCATCTATGCATCTATAACACCCATATTCCCCCTCTCGTACGCATATTTTTTACGCTTGGTGGTAGAACTTTGATTTGTTACTTTCTAATGTTTCTGAACTGGGAACTTGTGGGATTTCTTGGATTTGAATAAATTCTTCTGGATTTATGTTAGATTTGAAGGAAATTGCGTTTTAGACTAGCCAATCAGGATGGTTTCAATCCTGGAGCCATCTAAGGCTGTAAGTTTCCCTTTTGTTTTTCAATCCAATCTGTTTAGGGTTTTCAGTTTTCCAGGGAATCTGTTTGGATCTTGGTAGATTTGGAAACTGATTCATTCGTATTCTTTACAGAATTTTTTCCCGGCAATGACCAAGATAGTGGGAACTTTAGGTCCAAGGTCTCGATCTGTTGATGTTATTTTTGGTTGTCTTAAAGCTGGAATGTCTGGTACTGTATTTTCGGACTCACTTCTTTTTAGTTACTACTGTGTTATTGGAAGCAATATTTATTTATTCGTTTGTTTTTGTTTTTCTTCAGTGGCTAGGTTCGATTTCTCGTGGCATGATCCGAAGTGTCATCAGGAAACTTTAGAAAATTTAAAGGCCTCCGTTAAGCTAACTAAAAAGCTTTGTGCCGTAGGTTATTTATATCTGGATTGATTTTTGTTCGTTTTTGAACTTATGTTTGT